TGGTGGGAAGGGTTCTAGGGGGCGTGTCCTAGCGCGAGGCCGCCCTGGCTCGATCCTGATTGGTGGGGAGGACTCCGGGGCGTGTCCAAAGAGCGGGGCGGCCATTTTGTTCCAAGATGGCGCCTCCTGAGGAGAGTGGTGAGGCCTCTGAGGAGTCTGAGCACGCTTGCGGCCTTCTGCGCGGCCTGGGCCTCCTGAGGGCGGAGCGGGCGCTGCTGGACGTGACCCTCTTGGCCGGGGGAGCCGAGTTCGGGGCGCACCGGGCGGTGCTGGCGGCCTCCTCGGGCTACTTCCGCGCCATGTTCGGGGGAGGCCTCTTGGAGGCCCGGGCGAGGCGGGTGAGGCTGCACGGGGTGGAGGGAGAGTGCTTGGGCCGCCTGCTGGACTTCGCCTACTCGGGGAGAGTGTCCTCCTTGGGCCTGGACGACGAAGACGAGGACGAGGAGGCGTGCCTGGAGAGCCTGGCGGGGCGCTTGCTGAGGGCGGCGGATCTCCTCCAGTTCCCGGCGGTGAAGGCGGCCTGCGCGGAGTGGATCGCGGCCCGGCTGGACCCCTCCACGGCGCTGGAGACGGAGGACTTCGCGGAGACCTTCTCCTGCCCGGACTTGGCCGCCGCGGCACGGCGGTGCGTCTTGCGTCACGCCGCAGAGGATGACGACGAGGATGTGATGTCGTCCTCCTCCTCCTCGAGGGGCCACCACGAAGTGGGCCCTGCCACCACCGAAGCCTCGGCCTTGACGTCCGCGATGTGCCGCCTCCCGCTGTCCCGCTTTGTCTCCTACCTCGGCGCCGACGCCCTGCACGTGCGCAAGGAGGAGGCGGCCTTCTCGCTGGCGCTGCGCTGGGTGCGCTCCGACCCGCTCTTCCGCGCCCCGCTCCTCCCGCAGCTGCTCTGCCACGTCCGGCTGCCCTTCGTGCGCCGCTTCGCCCTGCTGGCCCGTGTGGAGGCCGCCCCGGAGGTGGCGCGCTCCCCCGCCTGCCGCCCCTTGCTGGCCGAGGCACGGCTCTTCCAATCCGGACGGCTGGACCGACACGACCGCGGCCCCTGCGCCCGCCTCCGCCCCCGGCCCTCCACCGGCTTGGCTGAGGTGCTCGTCACCCTGGGAGGATGCGACCGAGACTGCGATGAGCTGGCCGCTGTGGACGCCCTGCTGCCCAAGAGCAAGACCTGGCGCTACCTGGCCGAGTTCCCCGAGCGCCTCGGCGGAGGGTACGCGGCCGTCGCACGTGGGAACGACATTTACATCACCGGTGAGGACACCCTCCCTCCCTCTGCCACAACATTATTATTATTA